GTGGTCGATGAGATTTTGATGCCTAACAGTAGTGTGGCCCCCAGCTGTATACTTGCCCAACTCGTGTTGTCAGACGTTGCTTCCGAAGCGAGAAAATTGCTTCAAAAATTGCTTTAACGGATTCGCCACACTGACTCCCACCCCCCCCCTTAATTATTGAGCGCAACCAATCACCGCTCCGCACAATTCGTCCTGCGGGTCCGCGAAACGGAGTTTGTCGGGGTTTTCGCGGATTCTCGACTTATTCCGAAGCAGGGACATGAGAAGGCCCCGGAACGACCGGAACAGAGAAGCCGAGAATCTGGGTGGACGGTGCCTTTAACTTTTCATGTGGTTTGACTTAAAATGTGGATTTGCATATCATCAAGAAAATAGATTCAAAAATTCTGAGAAGCAAGCTAGAAAGCAACAAAATTAGTTTTGCATCCTATAAGATTTGCTCTATCTTGGTTACTTGGACTTCCTCAAATGGTCGAAACAAAAATTTAGAAATCAGCGAAACTTGACATAGCAAAAACCAAGGGTCAAAGTTTTCGGTATTTTTCTGAGACAACTTCAGTTTACCTGCAGTAGAGACATGTCCATTTGAAAAAAAAATAAAAGATTTAAATGCTACCCCGGGATCTTCTTTGCGTTTTTGTTCTGCGAAGGGGCAGTCGCAAATAAAATGGAAATACTTTGAGGATAATTTGCATGTACTCTCTTCTTGAAACCTAGGCATGATGTATCGAATATTGTATAGTGTTGTTCTGCCAACCAAGTTTTGTGGTGGATCTTTATTGTTGACCTTACGTTTCGACAAATATCGTCTTCTTCGGAAGTCTGGAATTGGATTGCGGTTGTATTATCTGTTAGTCTATACGACCGAACGCCTCATCATGCTTCCGTCGTTTGAAACTTGTCGAGGCGCAACGTGCAGAGAAACAATCCAAAATGGATTCACCAACCTCTAGTCCGCCATGGATTCAGTAGCCCGCACAAATGTGACGGACATCATTGAGGTTGCTCAACGAGTCTTGGACTATATATACTGTGCGGTTTAAGGTCACATAGTGACATCAAAGGCAAGTCTGCCGTTATTGTCACGCGTTCATTTTTGTTGTTCATTCCCGGATTTCCAGCGTGTATCCACGCGGCCCCTAGTAGTTTTCGTGCCGAAATTTCAATCTCGTGCTCCAGAATTGTACACTTCACATTAAAATCACTCCCATCGTGTGTCTTAGGTTTGCTCAACGGTGATGACAGATTTCCTCGTCTTTTATTAGCCAGGTGTTCTTTCATTCTAACAATTAGACTTTTTTCCGTCTCTCCTATATACGTCGTGCCACAGTCCAGGTATTCCAACTGATAAACAGTCCCTGCCTTCGCGCAATCACCCAGTTCCCCATAAGGGCAGACGATGCACTCTTCTGATATACAATCTACGTCATACAATCTATTCCTGATCAACCGCTTTCTGATGTTACTACTAGAAATGTTGACCAGCATTACCTCATTATTCAACTGTGCTCCTATGCATCGGTTTACTGCCTTACTGAAACTGTCGAAGACAAATAGCATACACAGAGGGACCTTGATGTTATTGTTATTGCTTCGCATAGGATTACGACTTGCGAGTCATCTGGATGTTCGCTGACGAGACTGCGCAGTAGTGTAGCCATTACTGCGAGCAATTTTGGATACCAATTATCGCGACTCGAGTCTTTCTGTTTCGCTCGTGCACACTTCTACAGCGGTCTTATACATATTGTGAATGATGGAACGTTTTAAAACTGTAGGATGAGCAGATGTAGCGTGGACAAGTATATTTTTAGAGCTTTCCTTTCGGTACCATTTAATTCGAACAGCACCGTCAGACAGGTCACCGTCACTATGTGACCTTAAACCGCACAGTATATATAGTCCAAGACTCGTTGAGCAACCCCAGTGATGTCCGTCACATTCGTGAGGACTACTGACTCCATGGTGGACTAGAGGTTGGTAAATCCATTTTGGATTGTTCCTCTGCACGTTGCGCCTCGACAAGGTTCAAACGACGGAAGCATGATGAGGCGTTTGGTCGTATAGACTAACAGATAATATGACCGCAATCCACTTTCAGACCTCCGAAGAAGACGATATTTGTCGAAACGTAAGGTCAACAAAAAAGATTCACCACAAAACCTGGCCGGCAGAACAACACTATACAATATTCCATACTCTCGGGATAATTTATTAAGTTGTCCCATAAGTTCCGTCCGTTTTCAATTTTCATTCTAATAACTCTCTCTCTCCTGACTTCCAGGAAAAAACTAGGAATTTTTCGATAGAGCAAAGCAAACTCTACAAAGTTGCCTCCAAAGATTTGCATAAAATTCGATTCACATTGAGTAAAAAAATCGAAATGACTTCCGGTAACCCGAAACCTCAAAAAAAAATTCAGGAGTTGAAATTTTTTAATCTCTAATTTGCTTACGCGCATACACCTCTCATCTAACATTCATATGCACGCTTGTTGTATCTCTTCTGTTGCTGGAAATCGAAAAAACGAAAGGCATGTTTTCTTTTCCAAAGCGATGATGAGCTGCTCCTATGTAAGTTATTCTTTAGAATGAGTCCTTGGAAGTACAACCTCAAATTTTTAGCCTTTCAGCGATAGTTCTAGAATAGTGATATTTTTTTGGTTTTTAGTTTTTAGACTAGAAAAAATACAGCAAATGTGAAAAAATATTGGATAAAAAGTATATATGCCTGAGCAAGTTAGAGCTCTCTAGAAACATTTTAAGAGGAGTTACGATTTCAAATTTCCAAGCTACTGTAAGTTTTTAGATTTTCTTTTTCAACCTAATGTGGAACTACTGGTAAAAGCAGAGCTTTTTTAGGAGACAAGAAAATTGGAGGTTATTGGCACAAAAAGTGAAAAAAGTCAAAACTTATGGGACAACTTAATAATACATGCAAAACTTTTGACGAAAAGCAAAATCCGAACAGAGAAGGAGATAAGTCCAAATCGGCTTTCCTTTTCCGCAATGCAGCTTTCCAAGTGAAGTTGTGAGCGTTTGAATGTTCAAATTTGTCAAATCTTTGATGGCATAAATTACTACAAAAACACCCAAGTGGATTTCCATGGCTGTGTTCCTTCCTTGTGGTCAAAGTACACAACACGAAACTGAATGTTTATTTTTGGGTGTTTTATAGAGCTTTTCGTTAAATTTATGCACTCAAGGCTTGACAGAGTTACACATTCAAAAGCGCATGACTTCATTCGGAAAGCAGCGTTGCAAAATAGCAGATTTAGATTAGCATTGAATGTCGCGTTTGGTGATATACAACTCCTCTTCTGCCGCCAACTTATGTTGGTATCCTTTCCTTATTAGTAAATGGCTCAACAGCTCTTCCATCACTGATCCTTGTGACATTTTAGTTCAGTGTCTGAGTTTATAATAACTTTCATGAGAACTTTCCAAACTCAATAAATTCCACTGAATGCTTTCTTTTCATGATATTTTCTAATAAAATTTAGATTATTTGATGTTGAGTTGATATAAAACAGCGAACTAACCCATGGGGTAGAAGCCGCAGACGATATGATCTCCCAGACTTTGGTGCCGGTAATTTTTACAGAAAAATCTTGGTTTATGTGTGAATATCTGTAACGATTTGCAGATTAGTACAATACAAAGATAGATCATAAAATGGGAGCAAATGATGATTGAACAAATGACTCTTTTACTTCTAAGGTGTGCATCCTGATTGCCGGAGCTAACACCAGTTTATGGTGCAAATGTTGTTGTCTGCTCAAGTTCTTGAATACAGGATGCATATCACAGTTTTCACAACTACTCGAGATCAGCTCGAAGGAGCCAGTGAGTATGTGCATTTGCCGAAAGATAAAGTACTGTTTATAAAATCCCGGCAAACAGGACTTTCGACTACGCATTACCGCATATGTATGCAAAATTCGTATGTGATCGTCAAAACTGGGCATTAACATGAAGTGGCGCGTGCACAGTGGAAGATCTGTGTAAAACGAAATTATGGGAACTGTATTATTCAACGCAACCGTAAATAACGCGATTCCTTCATTATGTTTAGCACGTCATTAGAGTCATTTTGCCTTTCACACAGCATGTGAGCATACTTTTGTGCTTTCGGAAACACTCCATGCTACTCACTTTCCTTGACTTTTTCCATTTGCTGCATGTTGGTGGGAGAAAAGCAAAATGTTAGAAATTGAATAATTCAAATATACTGTCAGTCTGAGCGCGAAAAAAGTGGATAGTCGATGGATGCGTTCTACATTTTTGGAGAGCGGGAGCCAACGTAATATGTGCAAGTTTATTTGTTTTATGCGCAAGAGTAATCAACGTTCCAAAAACATGTCTATGAACTCCTCGCGAGTAAGCAAAACTCAAATACCGCATGCCAGCATGTAAGAAGCGAAAACAATAGAAAAAGGCGGGTTTCATTCCATGCTCTACACGTGGGACAAATAATTCCACCAAAATGATAACAAAATTTGTCTGCAACTTTACTGTCTGGAAATCCAACAATTGTTTATCAATGCTGCATTACTAGGAAATTTTCGCTTCAATTGTTGGCGAATATATCTTGCATCTTATCAATGAAATCGTGTTCAAGCATTAATGAAATTGGAAAATGCGACCAAGAAGATGGTAAGGAAAAAATGGAGGATGTACACAATCTTAATGTAAATAGCTCAGCTCTGCAGATCTATCTCTACATTGTAGCCTTTGTAGCGGTATTTAAACTTGAGTTTCACACTTTTTCTATACGCATACATTACACAACGCGATTTTCAAGTAGTAACGCTTTGATATGGAACCAGAAAGTGCTGATAAAGAAGGGAGATTGAAAGAAAAGAAAAAAATAGTCATTCCGACCGCTATAAGTTATGTGTATTTATCTTCGTAGGCGATTTATGAGCTTCAGTGCTAATCACCACGCTAAACTAGTTATAATTTTACAAAAGAACAAATCTTACTTAACGCCTTAAGCACTCATGCCTAAGAACATCAAGTACCACGCTTTCACAGTAAGATAATCTCACTTGTCTTACCTGGCATACTTCTGTAACATTTCCGCCTGGTCGTTTAGAGAGTAGTTCAGCAAATATTTTTGCCTTATTAAAAGTATTTACTTTTTTCATTTCGGGGTGGCTGAAAAATTTCAGTCTACGGAAAGAAACCAAAAAAACACGTACTTACACGTAATAACGATAGTTGTAAGCAAATCCTTTTTTAGATTGCTTTGTTGTACCACGTTTCCAAGCAAGCCAGTAGTTCTCGAGATAATAACATGCATTGAAATTGTCATATATCTAGACAGGTGTTCTTTGAAAAACGAACTTGAGTTGAAAACGAAAATTGCTAGTGCGAATTACACATTACATACTGTTGTTCATGCGGATCAGAAGTCATCAAATTTCAAAACACAAGGTGCTGATCATAAAAATGTTTGGTTTGAATTAAGCTGACATTTGGGTGATTTTTGTGTAGAATACTCATAGACGTGTAACTTACCATAGTTGGTACCGGCTCTTTTGATTCATTGCAAAACCTTCGAAATCCCATCAGGAGATTAATTCCATCCATATCAGAACTGCAGTCGTAATCAGACCAATCGTTGGCATAGAAAGCTGGCAGGAGCTGAAAGCAGTCATTGTCGTTTTTCAGAAGAAAAATGTATAATAATTATCACTTACAATGAGTATGAGGTAAAACATAATTTGATGGGGTTACATTGTTCAAGCGCTTTCATATTGGCAGACTTATACAAGTGAACAAATAAGATAGAAGAATAGCAGCGGTTAAGGGTACAGCTGTGCAATAGGAGCTGGTACGTAGCTGCTCAGCTGGGCCTCCATCTGATAAAGTACATCTGGGATAGGATGAATAACATAAGTACATTTATATACTGTAGCAACGCAAACGCCTTTTTACTATATGTACAATTGCCCCCGAACACTTTGTCCGTTTCGTTTTTCAAACGACTAAAAATTCCCTAAAATAAAGAATGAAGAAATGCATCCGAACATGCATTGATGAAGCTTTGTTACGTTTTCTACTGGGTACATTTTCAAACCATTATCATCCGTGTTTCTCGATAATTGCCAAAATTCTTCTTCCGTTTTTTATCTGCTCAAAGTGAATTTTTTAAGGATAGGATCGACTTCTGGAAGAGTAGCTTACTACGGATAAAGTTAATTATACGCTTTGCTGTTGGAGCTTCACGAATCTTTTTAAGCAAAAGCAAATCTTTTTTTTTGAGATTCTGTAAACTCATGAAACTCGCAGTTGCAGCAAAAATATATTTACGGTTGTCATTAAGCATCATTTGTGCAAGATAGTCAAATTCGATGCTTCGTAGGATCAGTTTGGGATTTTTGTAAAGCTTATGCTCTATATGTGCTCGAAAAGCGAAAGCTTCTTCCGAATAAACAATTTTCACAGACTCTTAGTATTTGAGCTCGGTTCAGTCACTGTTCCATGATTTTTGTGGCCAACGCGTAAAACTTTTGGGACTACTAATAAAACGCAATCTATCTTATATATAAAGCTGAATGTCTGTTTGTCTGTCTGTCTGTCTGTCTGTCTGTATGTATGTCTGTGTGTACGTATGTTCCGAATAGAAAATTCCATTTCTGAACCGATCCGGACCAAACTTGGCACACATACACTTCGGGCCCCGGCGGGTGTCATAGGCTACTTTTCGTCATCGATCGATATCGATTTTATCGATTTTTATCGATTTTTTTGCTGAGTTCACCTACGGGGCTGGGAGTTGGCACAGGGGGGTAATCGAGCATGGGGATTCCGAATACAATATTGGTTTTCGGGATTATCGATTACCTTCATCGATTTTATCGATTTTTTTGCAAAGTTTGAGCTAGGGGGCTGGAATTTGGCACAGGGGTGTAATCGAGCATGCTGATCACCCCCCTAGCTCAAATTTTCAAAAAATCGATAAAATCGATAAAAGTAACGGACGATCCTGAAAACTGATATTGTGTTCGTAATCAGTATGCTCGATTACCCCCCTGTGCAAAATCCCAGCCTCGCATGTCAAAATTTACAAAAAATCGATAGAATCAATAAAAGTAATCGATAATTCTGAAAACTAATATTGTATTCGGAATCCCCATGCTCACTTCCCCCCCCCCTGTGCCAACTCCTAGCCCTGTAGGTGAACTCTGCAAAAAAATCGATAAAAATCGGTAAAATCGACATCGATCGATAACGAAAAGTGGACTGTGACACCCGCCGGGGCCCGAAGTGTATGTGTGCCAAGTTTGGTCCGGATACGGCGGAGCCGGGTAAGCCAGCTAGTAGTAAATATTATTTCATACATTGATGTCCTTAGCATTAGATATATTTGTTCAATTTGTTCCACACGTACTAATGTTTGTCTCTACAAGGGAAACAGCGGTGGAACGAGGGGGTAGGAGAAGGGGAGAGATGAGGGCAGCCGCAGCCACTTCTCCGAGTATGGGTCGCGGAAATTTTAGAAGTGATATGTGTCATAAAAATGCGCATGTGACGTCCTCATACCTGTAAATAATTAAAATATCTTCTGGAAAATTTTGAAAATTTTATTTAGCTTCGTAAAAATTTCGGAAACGTAGCTGCCGCTATTCCACCTCTTCTCTAAAATTTCGGAGTCAAGGGCCCGGAAAGAATTTCGGAAGCACCAAAAAATTTTCGAAGTGCGTGGCTAACCCGCGGGCCTTCCTCAGGAAAAAACTTTAGTCATGCCCCCTCCCCTCCCTAAGAGAAATTTGATGCTCATAACAGTGGAATTGACATAGAAAAGCACCCTAGATTTGTTTTGTAGATGAACCATTATTTCAAGAATCTTCCCAGTTTTGAGACAACTTTTCCAGCACTGACTGTTCTGCAGGAGATTTGAACCTTTTTGTACAACAATGGAGCCACTCAAAAAATTGCTGTTGCAGTACATTTACTTAGCTTTAGTAACTTTGAGATAAGAAGTTACTTTGAAGCGAATTCATATCTAAGGCAGGCAAATTTGAATGAATGAATCAGACAAAATTTGGAGTAGACGTGACTTTTGCGCTATATAGTCTTAGGATGGCGTAAATTAAGTCTCAAAAATCTATACCGTACTGAAAGTGATAGAGAGTTTCTTTCCCGAATTTGGAATCTGATGACTCAGTCAACTGCTTCATGATTAGGATAAAGAGGTGTGCCAAAGGGATTACACTGAATTCTTTCTTATCAATTCTACATGCCACCGTCCAAACTTTGAAGTGCGGTTCATGATTAAACGAACAACGCATATACGGTAGTTTTGGGACCCTCTGGAAAAAACTCAGGAAACCGTTGGTACCGTTAGGAAAGCATTGCCAAAAAAGGTATACATGACACAAGAATGAAAATCGGTGTCAATCTCAAAAGCACCGTCCACCCAAAGTGGGGGTTGACGAGATTATGATGGCATACCAGCGTGGGCCCCCAAGCTATTCAAACCCCCAAGTTGCGCAGCAGAAAAGTGCTTTCGGAGCGAGAAATCCGCTTCGGAAGGGACGTAATCCGGTGCTGCTCACTCCGCCCACCTGGTCACCCCGCCCACTTTGCAGGTTTGCAAATGACGCCCCCGGCATATAACCGCGCTGCAGCCCCGCAACCTGCACCCTTTTCCAAAACGGGGATTTTTGGAAGTCTCGATGATTCTCGACTCTATATTCGGAATCAGGACCTTCAGAAGCCCTGGAAGCGACAATAACATGGAAGTCGAGAATTTGGGTGGAGGTGCCTTTGAAAATGTCTTTGTGCCGAATGCGAATTTTCAGCGCTTATAATTACACAAACACCTCAAGCGATGTTCCTATATTCACCCCCCCCCGAGCCGAAATCCTGGGTACGCCACTGTTAGGACCATCTATAAGTTTCTTTCAGAAAGCCCCGAGACTACCAAAATATGGGGGTGTTCGCATTTACGAACCGCGCTTTATTAGGTTGTCGGGTAATTTCTGTTACACTTTTTCTATGGAATGCTCAAAAATCCCATAAGATTACTAAATTCTTCTATTTGACACCTACTAGGACAAAACAGGGTCTACACTCTAGTACTTTTAAGCGGAAATTCGCGAATAGCCAGCAAGTTTAGGACAGTTTTGTAAACACGCTCAAAATTTTCATTTTTTGGCGATTCATTCTCTGCGTCCAAGTTGCTCTGTCCTATATTTTTTGCATATATTTTCGCTCTGTCTCTGTTGCAGTCTTCGTCCTACTTGTTGTGATGTCCAGGACACTTGTAGAACAGTAGTTTATTAGTAAACTGGAACGAATAAGAAAAGAAGATAAAACGAACCGACTGACTTAGTAACAAAGAGCGCCTTTTATAGCGCTCAGATCCCGCGCATAGGTTAATACAACATCAACAGATCTCAGTTACTCTCCATCTCCCTCCTTGAGTTGTCAATTGTATCTCTTCTTTGATGGGTCCATCTGGATACGGCGTGGCTGTCGATGTGTCCTCTGCGACTGGCGACAAATCGGCGGCGGGGTGGAGGCATCAGCTTATGGTGGGTTCAACATCGGCGGCGGAGGTATCGGAAGTTGACGCTGTCTCATTAGAAACGGCGTCTGAGAAGGGAACATCAATGGAAACGACAGGTGACGGCCTAGGGAGCTCAAAATCCAGAAGGTTGAACTCCCTCAACAGCGTGGTGGCGTAGGGTAATGCGCGAGGGCGTAGCTGATTGGGATGGTGTCCCCATACGAATCCTTCGACTTCCACGTTGTAGAGTGAACGTCCAATCCTTGATTGTACACGTCCTAGAGAACAAGTAGGCTTCGACGGATTGCGGTAATCGCAGGTATTAACGGCTCCGTAAATTTCGAATTTCCTTTTCTTGGCTTCATGTCGGCGGTTGTACACGGCTCCCATCGCCGGTTTCGATCCGGGAGAGTAGGCTGGTGTGGCAGTCCGGGCGTCGGTGACCAAACGTGTAAATGGAGTATTTATCGTTCGTCCAAGAAACATCTCGGCCTGTGAACGATTTTCAGGCGAAGACGGGCAGGGCGTACAGCGACAGCAAAGTAGTAGGAGGCTATCACGCTAACCACTTCACCAGAGCGTATAAGAGGTGTTGGTGTGCCTCTCTTGTTTCCCTCCAGCGGCCAAACTTGGCGCGAAAATTATTCATAACTTCTTTCAGAAAAACGGTTAGCAGAAATGGAAGGCAGATTCGGAATCAGCGTTTCAAGACGAGTGTGATGTATACATTTCATCTCAAAAGGCCACGGACACTAAGTATCGTTCCCTTGTAAGTAACCGTAGGCGCAACTGGTCATGTACAAATTTTGAGACATTGTCAGCTGTATCCTTTTCGAATGTGCTATAATTCAGGATTTGAACAAAGGGTATTGCGCTAGTGTTGACAGGGATTGCAGTCGAGAGATCACATGTGCTTTAAAAGCAATTTACAAATTTTTTTATTATGTGGACTTTATCAAGCACGTACCTAACGGCGAACCCCAGATCTTTGTCTGAATTCTTTAACACTATGACGCTACAGATATTGCCATCATAAATATGCATATGTGCATTTTTTGTATGGATGAAATGAACATGAGTTTTCGCGGTAAATAACGGTACCAGCCACCGAACATGTGCAGGCAAATTATTACCACCTTGACCAGATAAACTCACCCGCAATTTGCGTCATATGCTCATCAGCTCCTTCGACCTCTCCTTTTC